ATGTTTTCTTTGATGTAAGGAGGATGATTCATAGTGGAGTAAGGAGGGAGAGCGTGGGGGTAATAGACAAACTCTATTTTGTTTGTTTTGCAGAGAGGTGGGAGGGGAAGGGAGGGAGCATGGTGTTAGAAATGATGGTGGAATGTGATGGACATCATTATCCAAAGTACATGTATGAGACATGAATTGGTGTGAATATGCTTTATATACAGAGATATGAAAAACTGTGCTCTGTATGTGTAATAAATTGTAATGCATTCTGCTGTCATATATAAATTTTAAAAAATTAATAAAAAAATAAAAAATAATTTTTTTTTTTAGAGAGAGAGGGAGAGAGAATTTTTTAATATTTATTTTTTAGTTTTCGGCGGACACAATATCTTTGTTTGTATGTGGTGCTGAGGATCGAACCCAGGCCGCACGCATGCCAGGCGAGCACGCTACCGCTTGAGCCACATCCCCAGCCCAAAAATAAAAAATTTAAAAGCTCATTGAAACACTATTTGTATATAAAATCAGAAATAGTACAAATGTCCAACAATAGAGAAATTGCTAAACTTTGCTATAACATAAAGAAATATTTTATGTTCAATTGAAAAGTGAAGTATATAAGCTATCATTTAGAAAGCTACCCATGATACGTGAAGTGAAAAAAAAAACAAATTACAATTAGTAAGTAAATGATTCTGGTTTTGCTTACAGAAGAAAATATCAAAAGCTCTCTATGTTTATGTATTAACAGAAACCAAGTTTTCAAAAGCCATCTTATTATAATGGAAAATCCTAACATAATAAATAGTAAGTGAAAGAAGTAGATTATAAAATTGTCTATGTAATTTAAAATTATATATAAATAAAGGATATCAATTATCTCTGAGTACTGTGATTGTTGATCTGTTTTTAGATATTTCTTTTCTAAAACATACAAATGTTGTTATATAACAATCAAATCAATATTTTAAAAAAAAAAGGTTTTTGTTATTTTAAAAAAACATAGGCCCAAAAGACCAACAAATTATTTTACTTTTGAGAGTCAAGAAGAGACTCTAACCCTACAAAATGCCAAGAAAATGGATACAGAACAATGATATGAGTTCATGTACAGGAAGACTTTAAAAAAAAACTAAAAATATTTTTGAACTTTTATAATTTAAAATTTTTTCATGGATGGTGGAAAGAGACCCTCATCGCTATACAAAATACATTTATATATATAAAATACATGTAAGATGTGAGTTTTAAAAAGAAAAAAAAAGAACAGTGTTACCTTAGATTAGATAGAAAGAAGTGATGGAAGGAGAGGGGAGGGAAGGGAATGAAGAGATAGGAAGGACAGTAGAATGAAACAGACATTATTATTACTGTGTGTATATATGTGACTGCATGACCAATATGATATGCAACCTGTATACTCAGAAAAATGAGAAATTATATCCCATCTGATTCAAATGTATGATGTCAAGATCATTGTACTGTCATGTGTAACTAATTAAAACAAATTTTAAAAAATTTTAAATCAAAAATAAAAATAAATAAAATAAAATCTCCCATGAATGCAGCAGAAAAAAAAAAACTAAAATTATTTTTGAACTTTTACAATTTAAAATTTTCTTTGGTCAGCTTATGCAATACATAAAAACATGAATCAATCATATTTGCAGCTTACTTTTAAGTAAAATGTGAATTAACCAACGTGACCACCTACATTGGCCTGAAAATAGCTGTTTGTTCATTTCAAACGAAGAGTTAGCATAAATTCAATAAGTGAAAACCATATGTAACAGCTTTTTAAAACCGTCTGGAGGGAGGGAGTAGACTAGACCCTAGCTCCAGGAAAGAGTCCTTCCTGATATTCAGTGCCATGGACACTACCTTTTGAGTACATGGCGAATAATCCTCTCCATTCCTTTTCATTCATGCTCTTCCTGACCAGAAGGATTCTCCCCCTGACTACAATTCTCAAAATCCTAGAGATAAAATAGAAGAAATAAAGAGATAGGTAGAAATAAGACACAAAAGAAGGACAGAGAAATATAACTTTAAGTTCTGCATACTTCTCCAGGCCTGTCATACCCCAAGCCAGTCTCTTTCCCAGGTATGTCACTGCCAAATTTCTGGGAAATCTGTAATTCTTAAGTGTTACCCTAAATGCACCATTTATAAAAATTACCTCTGCACTGTTAATTAGCCCACCAATAAATAGATCAAGAGAGATATGACATTTTTAAGAAAGCTATAATTTAAAGAACTTTCCAATATTATCTACTGATCAGATACTGGAGATCATGTCAACCTGAGGTTTCTGAAAACAATAACATTTTCATATACTTCTCCATGACCATCCTTCATCAAGTTTCCTCAAAAGAGCCTGAAAACTCCAAGTGAGATGGCACACAATCCCCCTTGAATGTGTATTCCTTGCTTTCCTAAATAAATCTCTGCCTCTACTAGTGCATGCTAAAATTCTGTCCCATCACATATGCCAAGGGGCACATTTGTCCTAAGTGGAGATTCCCCTTCTCCAGGAACTCCTCGAATCCTCTTCCATTAACATCTCTTCTTAGGTGACACTACCATTTCTTTGAAGGCCAACCTCAAATATACCTGAAATCTGCTACATGAAGATGTTCCTCTTTTGAACTCTATAGACATTTAAATAACTGAATTACTCACTTTATTTGCATATTCTATTTGTATAGTGACATTCTTTTCCTATATTCTGATACTTTACAAGGAATTGGAACACACATGTTCATCTCCACCATAATTTCCTGGAAATACAAATAAAGAAAATTATCCAAAAGACTAGAGCAGTTATTCAAATGCATATCATACATTTGAATCAGATGGGATATAATTTCTCATATGAAAATTATCCAAAAGACTAGTTTAGGCCTACAGGACTTTGGTGGGCCTTGAATGTGATCTAAGTAGTTTGAGTTTTATTCTACAATGAGAGAGAAAAACTGAAAATTCCTAAGCACAAAAGGGGTGAAATAAAAGTTTAATTTAGAAAAAGTAGGTAGGCTACAATTGCCAGATTAAAGAAGGGTAGTAACATCTACAGCAAAAAAGGTAGCTGGCTCAGCATAAAGGGTTAAGAAAAGGGCTTCAACATCAGAATACAAAGAGTTCTGCAACACTTCCTAGTTCTGTAATCCTGGGCCAATTTTCCCTAACTATACATTAAGATTGGTAAAACCAGACCTTACTTCACTGTGGTATTATGTGAAATAACGAATGCAGCACTATCTACAATGCCTGGAAGAGAGTAAACACATTGCACTCTGACACCAATTCTCAACACCAACTAGGTGTCCTACAATTCAATTTAATTCTGATACTCACCTAGAAATAGCATCAAATTCCACAAGTTAAAGAGCAAGGTCCCTATCAAAACTGCCCTTAATTCAGATGTTTCCACACTCTCTATACTTATGTCTGCCTTGGCTGCAATTCAGGTTTCCCAAAAATCTTTCTTCGGGTTCAATAATTTGCTATATTAACTGATAGAAACCAGTAAAAGCACTATACTTAGACACAGTTTTATTATAAAGGATACAACTTAGCAACAACCATTGGGGCAAAGGTGTATGGGAGAGGAGGAGGGACAAAAACTTCCACGTTCCAGGTATCAACTGCCTAGCAGATTAATAAGTTCACCACTGTTGCAGGCTGTTTATGTTGGGTTTCATAACTTAAACATGATTAGTATCATCACTGGCCACATGACAGGACTCAAGATCCAGTCCCTCCACTCTCCTCAGAGATTAGGAAGTAGGGTTGAAAGCTCTAATTTGATCTTTCTGATATGGACACTCTGTCCATGAAAACTATCTTTAAAAGCCCGCTCAGAATCACCTCATTAGCATAAATGCATGTGTGGTTAAAATAGACTAATTATGTACTCGGAAAATTCCAAGGGTTTCTGAAACTCACTATTGGGGACCAGGGTCAAAGATCAGATATATTCTTTATGATAATCACATACACAATAAATGGAAGCTATTATTTTAGAAACCAACTAGCAGATTACTGAAATAATGTGAGTACGAAGATAAGGGGGTAAAACACTGCAGAAGCAACAGCAACAGAAAACTAGGCTTGGGGGCAGGCGTCAAAATTATCTATGAAGGTTCAGCCTGGACAACTAAATAGAAACAATCATACCCTGGCAGGACACTGAATATGAAATTAACAATGAATTTAGTTTTAGCCACATTGAGGCTGAAGGTTGACAGTCAGCAATTTCAGATGGATATTGGGCAGATGGAATGATGAGCCTGGAGATGTGAGAGGACAGGATCAGAATAAGTCTCCATATAGATCAGATCCCCATCTCCTCCTCCAAAAAACTCTAAAGAGGAGGATACCACCTAATGGTATCACTTAAGTTGGTACATGCCCTGTAACAATCCAATAAAAGCAAGTAAATACATGCAGCAGAAAATGTAAGGGCTGAACTGAGAACATTTTCCATTTAATATTTTGAATTTTAAACAAATTGATTTCTCTCTCTCTCTCTCTCTGGTACCAGAGATTGAACCCAGGAGTACCTAACCACTGAGCCACATCCCCAGCAGTCTTAGTCTTTATTTTAAGACAAGTTCTAAGGTGCTTAGGGACTACGTTGCTGAGGCTAACCTTGAACTTGTGATCCTCCTGCCTTCGCCTCCCAAATTACTGGGATTATAGGTGCGTACCACCATGCCCAATGGTATCTAATTCTTAAAGACTCAAAAGGAATCACATGATCAAGGGCCAAACAGAAATGCTGGGTTTTGTTGTAGGATAGAAATATGCTATTTTATTTTCTATCAATAGGAACTTACCATACATCTAACAGATAAATATTTACTTTTCAATGAAAAGGTTATGGATATGGAGCAAGCATAGAATACAACATAAACAGGATCAGCTATGGTCAATTCAAAAAGCTTTGCGTCCAGATACATGAAGCAAAATAAAAACTTCAAGTATGGAAACCATGTCAGACTTACCCCAAGCTTTTACAGTCCTGCTTTTAGAAAATGTTTGGAAGGTAGAATCTGCCTTGCTAATAGTTCATAGGTTCAGAAGCATCATAGCTTATTTTTCTCTGAAATGTGCAAATAATTTCATCCTTTTGTTGCCAGCTTCTGGGACTCCCAACTTGGTTTTTCAGAAGCTATAAACATAATAAATGGGAGAAAACAGAAAGCATAGTCAGTGCACTAAGCCAGTCAGATGGTTCATGGTATGTGGGTTATAAATGGATCCATAGAACTGAAACACTCAAGTACTATAGACTGAACCAATGAACCGGTAACCCAGGAAGATAGGGTACAATGCTGGTCCCTAGCGTTCAGGATGGGAATGCCAGAAAAGTGAAGTGAGAGTTCAATATGTGTCCCACCTTTATAGGCTCCAGGGAGGGAACCAAAATATTTTTGGCTAACTCATTGGAGTGCTTCTCTGTGCCAGCAACACCCCTAGAAAGAAGAACAGTAAGGCAAAATCTGAACCTAGACTCCAACCAGAGAAGGAATGGATAAGGGAAGTTTCCTTCCCTACACTCTTCTTAACTCATAAAGGAGATAAAAGAAAAATTCTGAGATGCCCTAAATTTAATTATGAAGGCTGAAGGATGGAGACAGGAAGAGAAAAAGGCTATTTAATATTTTCATTTCATATGTTAGAACCTTAACTTAATCACATTACATACAAACTCAATGACTGTCATCCCTAACCTATCCAGAAGTCCTTCTCCTATGGACTACCCTCCTATCCTAAAGCTTCACCATCTTGCATAATCACACTCCTCTTTATCTATAGCCAAGGTAGTTTCAATGTAAACAATTTATGCTGTCCTTCTCCAATTTTTCCTTATTAAAAAAAGTTCTTTGTTCTAGTTGGACATATTTCCAACTGCTATCTAGCCCTGCTACTGGCAATTACTGGAACTTATCCCAGGACCTGGTCCTTTTTCTGGCTAACATCTATAATGGATGAACAAATCCTTTTACATCAGAGATGCCTAAGTCTAGCTGAACATAGGGTTCTTTAAGTTTCAAAGATGACAAGAGGGACCCAAAGAATTTTCTAAAGAAAGACACAGGCATAAAAGACACTCTCCCCACTTCCTACATCCTGATTGTAACACCAAATTATAAGGATCATTTTATTCTGCATAAAACTTAACAATTTTAGTGGACAGACTGTTGGTTTTACCTACAGTAGTACTAATTTCTTTGTATCAATATGCATGTTTCTCAGTTATAAATAAAGGTATGTATCTTTGGTGAATTCCTTAGGATTTACAGAGTAGATTTTACATTAAGGCTTATTTTCAAAATTCTAGCATTGTAGTAGTTAATCCCTTAGCTTGAACCACCCCCATTCACATAGATTCACAGCAGGCAAACCTCTTCCCTTGGATCACTGCTAACTTCCTCATGCTCTAAGAATTTCCTCTTCTAACACAACCAATTCAACACTTTTTTTTTTCAATAGTGTTGGAGATTGAACCAAGGGCCTTGCACATGCTAGTCAAGCACTCTACCACTGAGCTACATCCTCAGCCCCCAATTCACCAGTTCTATTCCACTCCTACACACCATTACCCTCTCCTTCCCCCTCAAACACTCCAAGTAAAATATCTTTAATTAGTGAGGGTCAGAGGGAAAGGACAATTCAAGGCATCTTTGAGTTACCTTTCCAATTCCTCCCTCTTTTTTAGGCACCCCAAGTCCCTGCTCACCCAAAACTGCCCTTGAATTTCTCAAGAAGTTATTCCTAGGTTGAACAAAATTCAGCCCTTTCTGATTCCTACTCCCTGAGGAGCATGCCAAATCTATCCAAGTACTCAGCAGTTCTAAAGCCTTCCATCTTTTAAGACCCTCTCTTCATATTTTTAAAGCCAAAAGATAGTAGTAATTCTCTTAAGCCACATTTCCAGCCTCATGCTTCTTCCCAGTGCAAAGCCAGGAGAGCAGGGTCTTCTCATTCATATTTACTGAACTGAATTACTAGACTGCTGTTCCAACTGTTTACCACTTCAAACCCAACACTGTCTTTTCTCGGAGTAGCAAGGTTACTACATAATAAAAATGCCCTCCCCTCCTAAGGCAACTATTGTCAATTACTTCATTCTTTCCGATTACTGTCAATAAACCTTATGAACTAAAAACAAGTGAAAACCTCACACACACACAAACTCACTCTCTCTCTCTCTCTCTCCCCCTCTCTCTATTAAGATTAAGAAGCTAAGTTTCAGGAAGGTAAAAGTAGTTGCCCACATCCTTTTCATAACAATTTTTTAAAAGTTCTTAGGATGTATGAGGTTCTGTAAGAAGTATGTTACTTTCAAAATCTATTTTAATCCTTGCAAAAATATGGAAAGAAAATAGAACTGTAATCCCTTTTTATAGTGAGTAAATACACTTAAGTTAAAAAAAAAATAAAATTTCTGGCTCCCACTACAAGACTAGTAAGTGACACAGCTGCGATTCAAGCCCAGTCAGACCATATTCAGAGTTCAAGCTGTTAAAGGATAACTAAAACAAACAAACTAATGTGTTTCTCATACAAACATAAAAATAAATGGCTTCAATTAATTTATTAAGTAACTGGGGAACAAATAAGATTTTCCAACTGATTCAAAAAAGAATCAGAAGACCAAACGCATACATAGCCAGTGGAGAATACTGAAATAAATTAGCTTAAAACATACAAAACTGGCTTCTTCCAAATAAGAGGAAAAGAAACCAACTGTACTTCTAACCAATGAGATTCCTTTGCACATCTAACGACAAGAACAATTTACATTGCCATCCATATTTTACAACTTAAAAAACTGTGAAATAAATCCAAAGCAATGAAAGCTACAGATCCCAGAGAATCTGAGAACCAGGAAAACAGTTCTAAGTAGCACTTAGGTTTCTGCTGGAGGTACTTAGGAATCCTTTTGGTTCATTTCAGACTTTCTCAAGTTTTCCTTATACAGATCTTAAACACTCTGCATAATGTCTTTTCTCTTCTTTTAGATAAAGATCCACAGCTTCAAGATCTCTGACAAGAGGCTGAGGTACTCATAGATCAGCGGTAGAGCACAAAAGTTTTGAGGTCCTGAGTTTGATTCCCAGTACTGCAAAACAAAACAAAACAAAAAAGACCTCTGACAAGCACTAGAAAAAAAAAATAGTTACTTCTCTCCATAAAACTCATCTTTCACAAACACATACTAAGCCAGAAATTTAATTTATTGTGAATTTATATCTACATGCAGAAATAAATTAGGTCACAGGATGGTCAAGCCTCTTAAGAGATCAAAAACTAAAGAGGGTTTGATTTTAATGAACAATGATTTGAGAAACAGAACTGCTGTCTGAAGAATGAAACACAGTTAAATTGTTATTTTAAAATAAACAACCCAAAACAACTTGGTGTCTTTCTAATCAATTAAGCGTCTTAACTTCTACCCTATGGTTTCTTCAATAAAAAGGCAATTTCCACTTTCAACAAGATCAAGCAGATGGACCTTTTCCTACGGCTCTAGGTAACTACGATGGAAAAGAGTGGCGGCGATCACACATAAAACAAACATGAGAAGACTGAAGGAGAGAGAAGGCAGACCAGCCAGGGACTTGGGACCCATGGAACAACACTTCGGTGGGTTCCCTGGTTTTCTTTTTACATCATATACCACAAACAGCTGAAGAAGCAAGGAATGCAGAAAGGTAAATGGGGGAAGACAAAAGACCACTTTGGTTCTCTTAAGTCAAAGGACTAAGAAAAGAGCAACACAGCAAGACAGAAAACTTTCAAGTAATAAACTGAATTCCAGTCCAAGAAAAAAGTTAAAGAAAAATCTGTGGCCACACACGCCAGGCTATAAGGTGCCCTAACTTAGCTTCCAATTTTCTCCAATCCCTGCCCCTGCCATAAAGTGACTGTGGAAACCACCTGCAGGGTCTGTATTTCTATCCATCCCACTGGAGTGGTTCAGAGGAGGCCTAAGCTTTCACCCCTGCCCAGGGGTAACAAGGTCATCCCCTCCCAGTGGTGTCAGCAAAGGCCACGTACAGGACAGTAATGAGACAGGGTTGAATCAGTGGAGGCCTGAAGAGGAGCTGAAAATCCCACCCCTACCACCAAGAAGTCCTGCTTTTTGTTAGTGGACCAACTCCTCAAAAGCACAACATAACACAAATTACCCAAAATTAAATAGATAATTTGAATAGCCATTAACTATTAAGGAAACTGAACTTATAATTTAAAAGTTTCAAAAACAAAATCTGGCCCAGATCACTTCATCAGAGAATTTTATCAAATGTTTAAAGAAGAATTAAAGCCAACTCTACATAATCTCTCTTAGGAAACAAAAGCTGAATTGGAAGCACTCCTCTATCCATTTTATGAAGTTTGTATTATCCTGATACAAAAACCAGAAAAAGACTATGCAAAAGAAAAATATCTACAGACCATTACCTGAAGATAGACACAAAAATACTCAACAAAGTATTAAAAGAATTCAACAGTATATTAAAAACTGAATTTAATCAGGGATGCAAAGCTGGTTCATTCAAACATCAATCTAATCCACCCAAGGGAAAAAAAATCACATAATTATACCAATTGACACAGAAAAAATGATTTTTAAAAAGTCATTACTTACTCATGAGAACAACTCTCAGAAAATACTGAAATAACGAGGAACTTTCTCAAGTAGATAATGAGCATTTACAATCTACAGCAAACATTATTACACTCAGTGATAAAAGACCAAATGCATAATGCACCCACACACACACTACCAGGAATAAGGTAAACAAGTTCATTCTTACCACTCTAATTCAACATAGTATTAGAAGTTCTAGCCAATGCAAGAAGGCAAGAAAAAGAAGTAAGTCATACATAAATGAAGGGTCCCTGTCTGCAGATGACATGATGGTTCACACAGACATACTAAAGAAATTTATCCTGAAAATCTCCTGGAACTAAGTTAGTTCAGCAAGGTTACAGGTACAAGATAAACACTAAAAAAAATCAACTTTATTTCACATGAAAAAAAAACCTAGAGTGGGAGAAAAATTTTGCAAATCCTATCTATGGTAATGGACTTATATCTAGAACACTGTATATGGAGAACTCCTATAACTCAATAATAAAAAGGCAAATAATCCAATT